GCCACTAAATCGATTACTACTACTAATACTACCAATTGCAGCGCCTCCAGCTAATTCCTCGGCCGCTGGCACTGCTGTTGTTGTTGCTGCTGCTGTTGGTGCGGCTCCAGCTTTAGCTCCGGTTTCCACCGCTGTTACGCCAAAGCCAAATAGAGGCATAATCCGCGACCAAAGTGTCGCACCAGTTGCTTCTACGCTTGGCGCCGTGGCCTCGGCCTCAAAATCAGGCTCTGCACTTGCTGCTGCTGTTGCTGTTGCTGTTGTGGTCGCAAGCTCAACGATCTTACTAAGTGCCTCCGCCGCTGTAGTGTTTTCCACTGTTGTGGTTTCTGCTGGCTGGCTACCACTTTCCATTTTAGCCGTCGCCTCTTTTTGTGTAGCTGCTTTGGTTCCATCAGTTGTTGTTGTTGCTGTCGTATGTAGAACCTCGTTTTTGCTGCCACTGGCCGCAACCAGGGGCGAGTTGACCACTGTTGTGGTTTCAGCCGTTACTGTCGCCACTTTAGTTGTTGTTTCATCAACATCGTGCCGCACCTCAACCGCCGCCACGCCACGCGCATTCTGTTCATTCTCAGCCGCGTTTGCGGATTTTTTCACCACCAACTTTGGTTCGCTGGCAGTGGTTTTTTGTGCTGATGTTGCTGCTTGTGTCATTGTTGTTGCCTTTAAAGCTGCCATTTTCAACGCGGCCAACTGTCGCTTGCCCTTCACCAATTCATTAATCATTCGCAATTCTTGTTCAATATTTATTTCGCTCGCCGCCATCGTTGCCTTCGCTGACGCTGCAATGCGCGCTGGCGGCTTCTTATTGTTTTTATTCTTAGTGCGGCTGTCATTTTTGGTGTCGCTGGTCTTGATGCTGCTCGCGGCAGCGACATTCACTAGATCGTTGTTGCCACTCCTCGGCACATCACTCACGACGTCGATACTTGACGGCGCTGTCTCCTCGCCAATAGTCGCATCCGTGGTCGGAGCGGTGGCTGACTTGACAACGTCGGATACTTGTTTGTCCGTAGCAATGCGGATAGGCGCGACGACAGCGGCGGCGGGTGAGCTACGAAACCGGTCCGTACTTGGAGTGGTGGTTAAGTGTATTTTCGTTGTTGTTGTTGTTGCGATTATTGTTGATGACAATGCGACTGCACTGGTTAACGGTTGTGTGGTTGTTTCTGTAGCTGTTGTTGCTTCTACTGACTTTTCGCTCTTTTCGACTGCTTCTTTCGCTGTTGTTGTATCAACCTTTTCGTTGGCAATTGTTTTGGTTTCGATTGTTGTATTATCGTCATCAGCTGTTGTTGTTTGCTCGTTGATTGCTGTCTCGGGTGAAGTTGTTTTTATTGACGCCTCATCTTCAACCGATTCTACTTTCAATTTTTGAAACTCCAACTGCTGCTGCTTCGAAATTGCTTCCAGCAGGGGGATAGCCTCCGGAACAGTAGCAGACTCATCATTCGCCTCAACAACTGTGGTCTCGTCGATTTGAAAACTGGTGGTGCCCTCCGGCTCCGTTGTTGTTA